TTTTATTACATTTTCCATTTCACTCATTATAATTGGGGTGTTTAGAATTTCTATATCTTCTTCATTTAACTTTGGCAATTCATATGTATCTAGGAATCTGCCCATTTCTTCTGTGTTTTCCATTTTATTAGAGTACAGGTTCTCGAAGTAGGTATTGATGATACTCTGGATTTCTGCTAGTTCTGTTGTGACTTCCCCTTTTTTGTTCTTAATTGCATGGATTTGAGTCTTTTCTTTCCTTTTTTGCTAAGATTGGCTAAAGGTTTATCGATTTGATTTATTCTTTCAAAAAACTAACTCTTTGATTCATTAATTTTTTGTATTGTTTTCTTAGTCTCCTTTGCATTGATTTCTGCTCTGATCTTTATAATTTCCTCTCTTGTGCGGGCTTTGGGTTTGTTATTCTCTTCTTTTACTAGGAGTTTGAGGTTCTGCATTGGTTATTTATCTGAGTTTTCTCTGTTTTCATAATATGGGTGTTCACTGCTATGAATTTCCCATGTAGAACTGCTTTCATTGTGCCCCATAGATTCCTGTCTGTTGTACTGGCATTATCATTTACTTGTAGAAACTGTCTAATTTCTTCTTTAATTTCCTCTGTGACCCATTGATTGTTCAGGAGGGTGTTATTCAATTTCCAAGTGTTTGTGGGAGTTTTGCAGTTTCTCATGTTATTGACCTCCAATTTTATTGTACTATGGTCTGATAATATACAGGGGGTAATTTCGATTCTTTTACATTGACTTAGACATGTCCTATGAGCTAACATGTGGTCCATTCTGGAGAATCACCCATGTGCAGCTGAAAAGAATGTGTATTCTGATTTTATGGGGTGGAACACCCTGTAAACATCTCTTAAGTCCATTTGTTCAATAGCTTGGTTCAGTTCTAGAATTTCATTGTTAATTTTTTGTCTAGATGATCTGTCTATTTGTGATGGTGGGGTATTGAGGTCCCCCCTACAACTGTATTAGTGCTTATTTCATTTTCCATGTCCATTAATATTTGTTTTGTATAGTTGGGGGCATTCATATTTGGTGCATATATATTTAGATTTGTCATCTCTTCCTCTTGGATTGTTCCCTTCACAAGGATATAATGACCATCTTTGTCTCTCTTAATTAGTTTTGGTTTGAAATCTACTTTGTTTGCAAATAAGATTGCTACCCCTGCTTTTTTCTGGGTTCCTGTCGCATGGAGAGCCATTTTTCATCCTTTTACTTTCAGTCTATGAATTTTTTTTTGACTTTTTTTTTTTTTTTTTTTTTTTTTGAAGGTGATCCGAGACCTTTATTCTGGCCCTCATCATTCATTAAGCCACCTATGCAGAACAATTTCTGCCCCAAGCAGCAGCGGCATCCAGGCAGACGTATGAGTGGAAGACAGGCACAAATGGAAGACCTTGTAGAAAAAAGCTGTCAGATGAGATCTTAGCTTATCCCAGCTCAGGTAAAAGTAGAACAGGAAGAGTATATATGTGTGCACAGACTCTGTTCTTCAAAGCTGAGGTTTGCAGAGAGGGGAGAGCAGAAGGATGCAGAGAAAACTCATGAAAGTGCCCAGCTCAGCAATCAATCCAAAGTACCTTCCAGAAAAGCAAATTCATCCACAGCTTCTATTGCATCATCCAAATCTCTCCTCTGGAGGGTTTTCCTCTTTCCTTGTTGTGCACAGCAGTAGGCATCTCTTGCAATGGTCTCCACAAACAGTTCTGCGGCTTGCTCCAGAATGAAGATGGCTTCCTGTTCCGCGAGCATCACATCGGGGTCCGCCTTCACTAAGGCCTTCACCCGCGCCAGAGGCAGCCTCGAGAGACGAGCCCCAGGCCCACTCGTTGGGGCTTGGGGCAGCGCGGCAGCTGCCTCCCCTCCGGGGCCCTCCTCCTCCCGTGGCGCCCCGCTTCCTGCAGGCGCTGCCACCATTTCCATGCTAAGCAAGCTGGGCGCGGCTACTGACTGAGGTGTGTTTCTTGTATATAACATATTGCTGGATTTTGCTTCTTAATCCATTCTGTCAGTGTACTTCTTTTGATTAGTGAATTGAGGGCATTAACATTGATAATTATAATTGATAGATATTCACTCATCCTTGTCATGATGTTTTACTGTTGTTGGCTCTTATTTCTTTTCCCCCCTTTCCCTTTAGTTTCTTACCTTGCCTGGTGGCTTCCCTCTGTTGAGCCTCATGGAGTTGTGGCCTTTGTTGCCTTTTTCTAGGATATTTCTTAGAATTGTTTGGAGTGCTGGTTTGGTGTTCATGAAATTTCTCAGGTGTTCTTTGTCATGGAAGTATCCAATTTCCCCATCAATTTTGAAAGATAATTTTGCAGGATAAAACAGCCTAGATTGGAAGTTCTTTTCTTTTAGAGCTTGAAATACTTCACTCCAGGCTCTCCTTGATTTGAGTGTTGAGAAGTCTGCTGTGATTCTGATGGGCTTTCCTTTATAGGTGATTTGTTTCTTTTCTCTAACTGCCTGTAGGATTTTGTTCTTCTGTTGGATTTCTGGGATCTTGACTATTACATGTTTAGGTGTAGATTTATTTTGATCATGGCTGGGTGGAGTTCTATATGGCTCACTTATCTGTATGTCCAATTCTCCACCTCTGTCTGGGAAGTTTTCTGCTATTCTGTGAACAGTTTTTTTTATGTCAATTGTACTTTCTCCTGTTTTTTCATGGACTCCTATCAGTCTGGTAGTCTGGTACAAAAAAAAAAAAAAAAGAAAAATAGAGTGGAGGACTAAGTTTCTGAAGTCTCCAAACAATTCTTCTCTTTTGTGCCTAGCAATTTGTTCACTTTTTAGAGGGAGGAGAAACTACATATTGATAGTCATTTTTCTAAACTTTGCGTGAAGTTAATGTTCATTCTATGCTCTTTGCATGAATGAGTTCACATTGTTAACATTGATGCCAGGATACCAATAGCAATGGATCTAGTTCTCAGACTTGTGAGGAAGATAGTTAATTCATCCAAGGTTACTAAGTTTATGGCAACTCAAGAAGTTATGGAAAATCTCAGGAGTTCAAATGTGAGCAACTGTACATTCTTTCATTAACCCTGTGTGGATATCAGAATGTCAGCAATATTTTCTCATTTACTAAGGAAAGAATGAAGAAAAAATTGACATTCTAATGGCTGTCTGACTTTTTTGAATAAGTCTTATGCTAAGAAGATAAATTAGGAAACACTGACATTTTCTATTTGGATCAAGTTTATGAATCCACTTAAATGATCTTTGTAGGATATTATTCTTAAAATGAAGCTTAAAGATAAGACAAATACAATATTTATTAAATATTAAGGACAATTGATTTTATTCAGAAAGAATTTATTCCCTTATCAATGAAATAAACTTTTGGTTCCTACCTGGGTTGCTTAAAAACTTTAAAATGCAAATAGATTAATCCCTACTTTTCTAAAAACATACATTTCACTATGTGAAGAATGCAGGTTGCTATTGTTTCCTTCAAAGACAAGAGGGAAATAAAATTGTTTTCAAGATTGAAGAACCAATTCTTAAGGCACAGTAAGTACCATCTCACCATGGTGAGTTGACCAAAATGCTCAGTTTGCAAGGAATTAATTCCCACAACTGACAGATCAGCAAGAATGTAGTTCCAGAGTTGTCCAATTATGTGATATCACTAGAGGAAGAAGAGGAACTTTCAAGGGAAAGATAATAGACGATCACAGAAAGAAACCCTTCTAAAGAACCCATAGTCAAGAGACAACCTAAACAGAGCAATTGAGGAAGAAACTCATCTGATACAGAAACATATGGTAGCTTTTGGTTGGAAAATATAAAAGTGCTGATGGTAGGATGTCCTAGTTAAGTGGCAAATTGACTGTATAGAACACATCTGAGTTATACGGCACTTTAAAAATAATTTTGAATCTCCATTGTATGTTGCACCTTATTGCTAGAAAATTCCATTAAAGTCCCCATATTTGCATCTCTTGAATATAGTTGCATTTGGCACTATGTTATATTCTACTCTTTTTAGTGGACCTGATTTTGTGCCCATATTTGCTTATTGCTACATGGTCCAGTACTTATATTCTTTTTTAGTAGATGTATAGTTTATAGAACTTATTAAAAAAATTTAAGTAAAGGAATTTTATGACTTTCAAATTCATGCAGTAACTGCTGACAGGACAAGAGGAAGTGGAAAAGTGCAAGGTGCCTATGAATTAGAGAGAATCCTGTAAGGGCTTTAACAAATAGATAAGATGTGCTTCAAATGAGCTCATCCATCGTTTGAATAAAAACTGCTGGGAAGGTGGTGCTTAAGCAGTTTGTAGTCTTTGATGCAAATAGGGTTGACATTCCTTTTGCTTACTACATTGTGCATGCTTCCTTTCAAAGCTGGGTGTTCCCAGACTTCAGTTTAACATGTTCAAATGACAATGCAGAGTGTTGGGAGAAAGGCTGTGGTCTCTAGCCCTGGCTGCACATTAGAATTCCCTGGGGAATGTTCAGAATTCCAGGACTTGTCTCAGATTGACTGCATCAGAGCAGGGCTCTGGGAACTGGTATTTTTCAAATTTCCCCAAGTGATTATAATGAGCAGTCTGGATTGAGAACTATTAGACTAACGACTTTTAACGATTCTATCATCCAAGGCCTCTGATTTCTATAGACAGTTCAATTTGGGTTATTAAGAAGCACAAGGTGTATCTTGATTCCCTGCAGAGCAACTTTGTCAACATATGCAACAGTTAAAGTGATGTGGGACAAAATGATACAACATGCCAACAGATTAAGGTAGAAATATTTAACGTACTTTATGAACATTTATTAAACATCTATTTTATATTCTGTTTCAGGCAATATGAATGACTTACTAGTGAACAAGACATTGTCTCCTCTTTTTTGCGTAGTATAATTGGAAAGATAAAAAGTGTAAAATGAGTAACAATATTATACAGCAAAAATCTGCTTTGACTTTTAAGAGCTATAAGACAAAACACAACTATAGGTTAGTATTTCTTCTGCTTGGGAAGGGTTTGAGGAGGAAGGAACTGCTGTTGATTCTTGGGAAGACTTGCACATCCTGGAATGGGGAGAGGAATGGAGGAAGAGGAACAGAAAGCATATTAAGACCAGTTGGAACAATGCGAGCAAAGAACAGTAAGAAGGAATGGGGAGTATATGGGAATCCTTGTGTGTTTAGTGTGACCCATACCCAGTAAAGGATTAAAGAGGAGGAAAGTGCATGTCTTGAATTTCAGTGCTAGGAGGCAAAAGATCTACATTTTGTGCTAAGGGTGTGCAAGAGGCACCGTTAATCACACTTTTCATTGGGAATACTGGAAATGTGTTAACATAAAGATGCAAGACTGAGAAATGTTGTATCTTGATAGAAGACTGTCTTAGTTCAGGTTGTCTTATACACAATAGAAAATTATTCATGTTTCTGAAGGCTGGAAGGCTATGCTGGGGTTTAGATCCCAAATTATCTTCCCAGTGTGTCTCATATGATCAGAAGTAGGATTTTGGAAGGTGATTGGATCATGAGGGCTGTAACTGAAGAGATTATAATTTGATGGCATTATTAGGAGGTGACAGAAATAGAAGATGGGGAATGGATGAGGGAGTGGATCATGGGGGCATGACCTCGGAGACTACATCTGGCCCCTGACATCTTTTTCTCTGGCCCTTCCCTCTTTGCTTCTGGGATACTATGAGGTGAGCACCTTGGCACCGCCATGCCCTTCTGCCATGATGATCTCTACTTTGCTACAGGCCAGCAAGTCATAGAACCAGCTGACCATGGACTGAAACCTTAGTTAAAATAAACCTTTTGTCTTTAAGTTGTTTATCTCAGGCATGATGGTACCTCAGTTCATGAACTCAATTCTCTCCATGATTCTGGTCACAAACTGAACTGGATGAGAACTGAATCAAATTTCCCCATAAGGTCAACACTGAACCTAACCATTGAATATCATTTGGTTCTTGTCCAATTCAGTTTGTGTCCAGAATCATGGAAAGAACTGAGGTACCACTATATGCATCACAATGATGGAGAACTGACTAGTGAAGTCTGAGGGCTCCAGCATGGTCAGGTTTTGGTGAGGGCCTTCTAGGTTGCAGATTACTAACTTTTTGCTATGTGTCCTCATATGGCAGAAAGAGGGAAGGGGAGCTTTCTGGGGTCTAATCACATCCTGAAGGTGTTACCCCTATGACCTAATCACTGCCTCAAAGTCCCACTTCCTAATACCATCACAGTAAGTTTAGTGTTTCTAAATACGAATTTTGGTAGGATACAAATATTCAGCCCACTGCAAAGACTGTAGCGGTTAAAGATGTCCAAATCCACTCCTATTGTCTACGGTTTCCTAGAATTGTTCATCCTTCCAGTGTGGATCTCTGAGAAGGCTGGGTAGATGTGTGTTTTTTCTCCCCTGCCACATTCAATAATGGTTAAAGACTTAATTATCTTTTTATGAGCCCAACAGTACTGGTTTTCTGTTGCTCAAATACAAAGACGTCATCTGTCTATGGCAGACACTTCAGTTGCCAAATGAGGGAGGAGGATGAGTCCTGTTGGACAGCAGCAGGTCAAGTTGAGCAGTGTGTAAAGTGCTCCTCAATGATTGGGGCCAGAGATTTAGCTCAGTGGTTCCGCCGCCTGCCTCCCAAGTGCAAGGTCCTGAGTTTGATCCCTGGTATGGTATCAAAAAAAAAAAATAATCCCAAAGGTTGGAGGAGTCAGCCTGGGGATGAAATGAGTTAAGGCACCAAATGCACCCAATGCTGTGAGCAGCACCTGCTCAGTACAGAATAACTTAAAGGACATTTAAAGAGCCAAGTGCCTTAGCGCACACCTGTAATTCCAGGACTCTGTGAGGCTGAGGCAGGAGGATGGAAGTTCAAGTCCAGCCTGAGCAACTTAGTGAGACACTGTATCAGAATAAAAATAATTTTAAAAGGCTGGGATGTAGCTCAGTGCAAAGGTCTTGGATTCCATCCCCAGTACAACACACATACACATAAAATATTTCTGCTATGAGCTAGTGAACTCAACAGTGTTTGACTCTTGTGCTTTCAAAATATATAACATCAAGAAACATGTTCTATTTCTCAGATTATTATCATACTGTTTATCAACACTTCATTATTAGGCCATAATTCCTTCACTTTTTTTAAAGAATAAAACTGAAATAGAGAACTTATCAACAAAAGCCTATGATGTTTATGATTTTAATACTTGACACAAATAGTGTTTTACTGTAAAGAGTACTTGCCAATTTCCTTTTTTAAACCCAACATTCTGTTTTGTAGATTTACTCATATGGATCCTTGCAGTTATAGCTCATTCACTTTAGTGGCTATTTAAGTACATCATGTTACATGAATGTACTGCAACTTGTTTATCCACTTCCAATGGTAGACATTTGGGTTGTTTCCAAGGTTCCATTCTACAATTGATGCTGTAGTGGATATTTCTGCATGGGACTCCCTGTCAGATGGGAGAGTCTCTTGGACATATGTCCACAAGAATTGCTAGGTCCCTGGTCTGAGCTTTTTCATTTAAAGTTTATACAGCCAAATATAGTACCAATTCAAACTTACCCCTACAGTTTATAAGAACTGGTTGCTTCTTATCAATGTCTCTACCCTGCCCTGTCTCTTGCCATGGTGTGGGAAGTAGTGTGGTTTTGTAGTTCAGATTTGGGCCCTGCATGGGGGATCTTTTAGGGTGATAAATATGTTCTTAACTTAGCATTATGGTGACTTCCACAGCTCTGTAAACTTACTAATAAATTATTGAACTGTACAGTCCAAACATGTAAATTTTATGGTGTAGAAATGTATCTCTATAGAACTGTTTTAAAAAACTTAGGCCTTGGAGATAGTTTTGGGGTCAAATCCTAATTCTAACATACTACTTAGCTTCTCTGTGCCTCAATTTCTCTACCTACCAAATGAGGATTTTATACTGCCTATCATATCCTTTTACCAGGAATAAAGACATGGTCCCTTAGCTTGGTGCCTGACATTTAATGAGAGCTCAACAAATGCTGTTTTACTATTATTTTCTCAGCACTCAGTGCTCTTGCACTGACTTTAATGTTCTACTTTCCTGTTCCTCCCTGCTATGGTTATTCACAAAGGTCCATGTATTAAAGGCCTGGCCCCAGGGTGTGTGCATTGAGAGATGATGAGACCCTTAGGAGCTAGGGCCTTGTGGGAGTTCCTTAGGTCATTGCGGGTGTGCTCTAAAGGGGGCTGTGGGACCCTGGCCACTTCCTCTTTCATTTTGCTTCCTGGCCACAAAGTAAGCAATTTGCTATCTTCTTCCTTCCATTGCCATATCTATATACCAGGGGCCCGAAGCAATGAATTCTCCCAATCTTGTATTGAAACCTCCAACACCGAGTTAAAATAACCCTTTTTTCTTTATAAGTTAATTATCTCAGATGTTGGCTTAGATTGACAGAAAGCTGTTTACCACCTCTGTCCTTTGCTACCTTTGCCTGAGCAGTTTCCCTCAGTTAACACCATGTTCTGGCTTTCTCATACCCACCTTCCCTCTTCCTTTATTCAAATGAAACCTGTTCTCTATCAGCTGTCTCACTGGAAATGTTTAGACAGATTGATGCACCAAAAGTCATTCATGACTGATAATGATTTATTTGCATTTTAAACAGAATCACTGAAAAATGACTAGACTTAGGAAGTATGGAGAAATATCATATTAGTCATCGAGGGCTCCCATAACAAAACACCAAAGACTGGATTGCTTAAAGATCAGAAGTTTTATTTTCCCACAGTTCTGGAGATTGGGAAGGCCTACATCAAAGAGCCAACCAAGTTTGGTGTGTGTGGGGTGTCTCTTTCTGGCTTGTAGATGGCCACTTTCTTGCAGTGTCTTCACTGCAAGCAGTACTGTTTCCTATACACATACACTCCTGGTGTCTCTTTCTTTTCTAATACAATACCAGTCCTTTTAGATAAGGGACCCATCCTATGATCTTATTTAAATAATTTTGTCCTACTTAAAGGCCTTATCTCCAACTACAGTCATACTGAGGGTTAGGGTTTCAGCATATGAATTTTGAGGGCTCTCATTTCAGCATAGACTATATTTTATAGAAGCAATGGGATATCTGAGTATGAGAACAATCAGTTTTCAGGCAGGATGGTCTCACAGGGAGCCCCTAGGATGCTCATTATGTTTCAGGTAAACATTCTGAGCAACTTTGGGTTCCATCAAGGCAGCCAGTGATGCTCAGATTCTCAGGAATTCATGAGAACAATATTATCTAGAGATTGATGTAATACCTGAAGCTGGAGCAAGGGCTGCCCTTTTCTTTAAACCTAAAATTCTTGGTTCTTGCTATTCACTGTAGCTGGCATCAGAATTCCTGGGAAACCGAATTAGTTACTGCAAGTTAGATGGTGACTATGGAGTCAGAGCTGAAGATGGTAGATAGATTTTAGAAGTATTTTTCCAGGCTGATGGAATTCTGATGAATTCTCCCTGCCTCCTAACTTTGGACATGTTGGTGATGACCTGTGCAGTGTCTTTCTCTTTTTCTGTGAGACGAAACCAGGCTAGACTCAAAGCTGTCCTATTCCACGGCCTAAATCTTAGCTAAAGAGATTTAGGCCTCCCCTTCCGTTTCATGCACTTTTTTTCTTTCAGTACTCTATTTATCCTTTAGGTAAATTATACTGTATTTGGCATAATTTTGAAAGGAATATACTCAAGGCCTCCTTGAGTACTACTCATGATCATCAGTTTTTATAGATCAATCTGTCTATAATTTTCCTCATAAAATTCACCAATAAAGCTATTCTTTATCCATAAATGTGGTGAAGAATAGCTTAATATTGTAAGCATCTCTGGAGCCCCTGAGGAGAGGTTCCTTTGAGTGAGACAGTGAGTGAGGCCCAGTGGAGCCTGTAGGTGGAGGAGGCAGGTCATGGTCAGGCTGCTCCTTTAGCCAAAAACTCAGAGTCAAAGGTCAGCCTCACTGCATGTTTAGTGCAAATTTAGACTTTCCCAAAATAATGGGTTAATGAAAGTCATAGACGATTAGGATCGTTGTAAAATGACATGTTAAACTTGGGCATAACAATTTATTGTTTAGGTACATAATTCATTGATTAGATGTCATCTTTCATAGAAAAAGTCCTGGTCTCTTTCTGCCATTTCTGAATTGATCCCTCAATGGCATCACTTAGAATCAGCCATTCATATGTTTCCTTAACCACACATTTATTTTAAGATAATTTTTTAGGATACTGTGCACTACAGGAAAAAATTACTTCCACAAATGGATAGTATCATCCAAAAGATGTTGAAGGGTTTTTACAGAATTCACTTACTAGTTTTCCCTCTTGGACGATTATCTTTCCAGGTTCTAGGGGTCCTTCAGTTGATTGTGAAGGGCTAATCATGGCAATCATCTGACTGCCTTCTACTTTGAAAGAATCTTGGTTTGGGCCATGCCTAACTCTAGGGAACAAATGTCTTGTGTTTGAATTTTAGGCATCAGGTTGGTGAAGGAGATGCATGTTCATCTAGCATCCTGCATCACTGAGGAACTCTTACTGCAAGTAATTCTATGTGGAGGAGACTGAACCCACTTTCTGTTGGTAGTTGCCCAAGAAGGATTCTTTACTGAAGTCAGAGACAGCATAGGAAATGGAAGAAGCAGCATGAAGAAGAAAGCATAAGAACAGGGTGAGCCTATAGGTGTGGCTTCTCCATCTTCCTGGAAGGTGCACTGGCAAACTGGATTTGGGACCCCCCATCTTATGGTTCTTGGGTCTCAGACAAAACATTTTTGAATCTTTCTGCTTCCTACTTGACCTGAGTTCATCCCAGATGCGTGAAGTGGGGGAAAAGGCCAAATGACACTAACAGAGCAGAGGGAAATATGCCTAGGTGTAGATAATACAATTCCAAGAAAGAAATGAGATTATGACTATAGCAGAAACTTGGGAGAGAAAAGTGAGCAGCAAACATGGCTGAACTAGGAAACACATGGCAGATGATGGTGAGCAGGAGAGTTTTTCTGTGGAACTCATGAAGCACTGATCTTTTGACACATGCAACAACTATGGAAAGTGAGCAAACCAAGGCATACTTTCAGTTGCAGATGTAGAAGACGCCAAGTAGGAAACTTATAGACATGCCAAGAGAAAATGATCATTTTACTCATTTGGACTCATTTTTGGGAGAAGCAAAGTGAAATTAGCATCAGAAAGACTTAATTAGAATATATTCATTCTGGTTATTTATTGCTGCATAATAATTTACCCCAAAACTTTGTGACTTAAGACAACAATAATCATTTTGCTATGTTCATAGATTCTGTGAGTCAACAAGTGTGGAGATGCCTGGCTGAGTGGTTTGGCTCTGGGTCTGACACGTTTTTGGAGGACTGGTGGGATGGTCTTCTTTCTTCTTGTAGTCTCAGGGGCCCTCCCAGTGTGCTCTCCCCATGAAATAGAGGCTTCAGGGCCATCAGACTGCTACATGAAGGCTCAACTCTCCAACTCCATCCATCTTAAAGTAGAAGATATCTGGCCTTCTATTCCTTAACCTGAAGTCATGTGACATCACTTCCTTTGTAGTCACAAGCCCACTGAGAAGCAAGGAAAGGCACAGACCCTACCTCTTAACGGGAGGAGTATTAAAATCACATGGTAAGAAGAGCATATAGGATGGGAATGATCCCTGCGGCTATATTTGGGAAATGCAATCAGCTGCAATGTTAGGAAGATTTATTTTTATTGTCAGTTTTTGGCATGTACAGAAATATATACTCATTGAAGAAGAACTGGGATAGTGCAGGTATCTTGTACTGCCTAGGGTTCTCCCTCATTTTCATTGGCATGGGGTCTATATAGCTTTGTATACAGGCTCTTGCCTTTATTAGGGTTTTCCTTCTTTTGGGGTGTTTCTTTTTTGAGACAGGGTCTCATTATGTAGTTAGGGCTGGGCTTGAACTCATTGTGTAGTCCAAGCTGGCCTCGGATTCACAGTTTTTCTCCTGCATCAGACTCCCAAGTGCTAGTATTAAAGCGTGCACCACCGTGCCCATCTAGGTTCTTCCCTTTTTATAATGGGTTATTTGTTCTCTATCCGGTTTAGTTGATGGTCTGGTAGGACATGTTTCTCTTAACTGGTCACAGAGAATATCCTTTTTTGTAGATAGTGGCTGGAGGGTTTAAGCACCAGGTGGAGACTGCTCAATATTTATTGTAGGGTGAATTGTGTTCCCTCAAATTCATATGAAGTCCTAATCCTCAGTAACTCAAAATACGACTGCATAAAGAGATAAGGTTTTTAAAGAGGTCTGTGAGTTAAAATGACGTCTTTAAGGTGGGCTCTAATCCAAGATGACTGGTGTCCTCCTAAGAAGTGGAAAACTGAACACAAATACACACTGAGGGGAGACCTTGTGAAGACATAGGGTACAGACAACCACCTCCAGCCCCAGGGGAGAGGCTCTGAGAACCCAATCCTGCTGACACCTGAGATTCAGACTTGCAGCTTCGGAGCTGAGACAGTAACTTTCTCTGTTAAGATGTCCAGTGCATGTTATTCCGTATGTCATCTGGCAAACTGATACCCTTGCCGAAGGCTCGGCTGTATATAATGTATTTTGAGAGATGCCTTTGCAGGGTCTAGTTCTCTGGGCCATATTTTCAAACTTATGTTTTGCAAGTGGTAGATGGCCCTTTTCCAAAGCCAAATAGAAATCCTCTATCTGTAAAATATACAAATAGTATTTCATTAGAACATAATTTGCTTAGCAGTTTGGAATATTTCCTTACAATAGAGGCACTCATGGGAGTAATGAGCAGGCTTTGAGGACATAGTACTAAGAAGATTATGACACTTATTAAGGAGATTATGACACTTTTTGGGCTAAGGATAAGGATAACTGCCAACCCAACCTGCACCTGCTTCCCCTGAGAGCCTCTTCCTTACCTCAGCACGGCATGCTCCTTTTGCTCATACACTCCAGCACCACACTTTTGGAATAGCGGCTCCATCTCCCTCCAAGCCAGAACATGGAAGGTGTGAAGGCTGATGATCTCTTCACCAGGTGATTCCTGGCTTCCATGCCAAAGTTCTGGAGGAAGCTCAAAGGACCGAACAAGAATATGTAGTAGCTAAGCAGAAAGATCTGATGTGACCCGCTGACCATGCTGGGAACAGTGAGACCACCCTGGACTTTGGGGCTTGCTGACCCATTGGTGAATACTAACTTGACCTGTACTAGCCATGGGACCCTGAGTCAGATATGTCACCTCTCTGAGTTTTAGTTTCCTCATCTGTAACAGAAGGGATTTGAATGCCAGCCTTGTGGTTTTTTTGTAAGGATTAAATGAACTAAAATGTCTGTTTACCCAGTATAGTTTGCATATGGCTTATTAAATATTTATTGTCCTTAGTCCTGCAAGAGCCACGGGAGGGCTCTGTGAGATAATGTAGATGGAAGTACTTTGCAGTCTGTGAGGAGTCATCTCTGTACCAGTGAAGAATGTGACGTGCTTTGACAATGACCCATTTCTAACTGCTGGGCCTGGCAGAGATGCTGATTTTATTTTGGGTCAGAATATTTGTAGGGGAACATGAGTGTGTTGTAGACTGTAAGTAGGCTCAGTGTCATGTGTGCAGTCTTGAAAAGCTGGAGGGGAGAGTGACACTTGATGTTTCTGCAAGGCCACAAGAGTGTTTCTTCTCAGTCAGCAAGTGACCACTTTGAAGAAGGATTTTGGAATAATAATGGGAGGCTTAAGAGTTCATGCCCCAAACCGAGTGCCAGAGCAATTTATATTGAAATCAAACCAAATTATTTCTCAGGTCATTATATTTTCCATTTGGACATTGACATAGTAAATATTATTAAATAAGTTTAGATTATAGCTAAGAGTCTGTTTTATAGATTTTCCACATCAAAAAAAAAGTCTTTGTATTGGGAATTGTATTTAAATCTGCAAAGAATATAGTTGTAGGGATGTTAAAAACAGATGGGCTCAAATGAGGCTGTTTTCCTTGAGCAAGCCTGAATTAGCATCACAGATAGTGAAGATAGCGTAAGCTGATGCTGCCCTCTGCCAAGAGGGACAGCTGTGTTCACATGGGCTTTTCATGCCCACCTTGGGGCCCTGATCGCTGTGGGTTGGGCTGTAATAGTTCATCTTTGCCTCCCTTTGCTGGTTCTCTCAGTAGTATACCTTTTGGAGTCTGGTCTAGCTTCATTATGGACACCAACCCCTCTACCTATGAAATCATTCTTAAGGTTTAGAGGTACTCTCAAAATGGATGATTTAATGCATTTAGCGTTTGTTAAGTATTTTGTCCAGATTTGCAGTCTCCTCTTAGTTTGCTTTCTAAAAAGAATTCTTCCCTATCTCCTGTCTTTCTGGGAGTGAGTTGGCTCTCAACTACTTCCGTCTCTGTCACACAGTGTGGCTAGGAATGGGCTGGTGGGATGAACATCGAGCGGCCTTCAGTTGCTCCCTGGTCATATACCTGGCATTGCACACTTAGGGAGTTAATCTATGGGGCTTTGAAGATTTTTCCATTCTTTAGTTTTGTTTTTTGTGAAAACCCCCCTGGGAGCTGTTCACCTTACCACCTAATCTCCTAGCAGCTGCTAACACTGTAGTGGGCTTGCAAGGGAGAATAAGTATCTGTAGGAGACTGGGTAGGAATGAGTCTTCTTTAAGAGGAAGGGCAATGACATGGGTGGTAAAAAGATTCCCAAACCCCTAATTCATAGTTTTTCTTTGTGTTCCATACAGAGCCACTGGGAAGAATTAATTAAATGGTTTGTTTCATATTTCTAAGTGCAGGAAAGATCAAATGGGCTCAAAATGACTTTGTATGAGTATAAAGGGGATGAGTCTACGTGTTTATTTTTGTTTTTGTTGAAGTACGAGCATGTGTGTCCCACAGTAAGTGATGCCAATTGATATTAGTGACCTGAGATGATGGTGAGAAAGTGTGGGAGACTATTGGAATTTGCTCACGCTTAGTGAGCTGGTGTGATATATGCTAGGGAGTTACAGAGAGATGAAATTGGGAGCGAAAGGCAGTAAAACAATAGAAGGACTATGTGTTTAATACAAATGAGACACAACAAGCACTTTAGAATTAAAATTTGGTTTAGGGTAGTGAGGGCAGGATTCACAGGGAAGATGGTCCCTAAAATAGGCCTTGCAGAATGAGAGAATGGGGGTCAGGGGGCAGAGAAGAAAGCTGAACCTTCTAGAGAGAAGGAAGCAAAAGTGCTTAAGGTTTGACTGGAGGACAGGAAAGAGCAGTTTGGGGGACATCAGAATTTGTTGAGAAGGTTAGTGAAGGAGAAGCCAGGAGAAATACAGCCATTGGTTGGGCTAGTACCATGGGGAGCTTTTGGTGCAGGAAAGGTGGAGGTCTTAAATATATAGGCCTAAAATGGTCAAGAGAGAGGAAGGAAGAAGGCCCAGTGCTCCCTGGAGAAGGTGGTGGGGCTTCTGTGACAGCTCACTGGCTGGCATATTGTGGACCACTGAAGGAGGTTGCTTGGACACCCTGGGAAAGTTAATACCCATATGAATGGAGGGCCCGGAGGGACAGACCAGCTTGGAGAATCTCTAAGGTCCAATGCTGTTGCTTTTTGTAAAATTACTTTATTGCTTTCAGGTTTTTTTTCTAAAATAATTTTGTACTTAAAGAATTCTAAATTCTAAATCACTTGAGAGTATGTTACCAACTTGATGTTCCATCACTTCCAAATACTTCAGTGTATAACACGAATCTCAAAGGGATTGGTGATGGTTAATTTTGTCACCAATCAGCAGGGGGTTCTTTTGCCCTATTCAGATAAAAATCATGAATCAGCAAAGTGCAGTTCTGCTAGTGGCTCCAGTGCCATTGGTGGATAGCAGTTAATGCCAGATGCCCGTCAGTGACTGTGCTAGTTGCTGGTGTCTGTCAGTGATCTTTGTCAGCTGCTTGAGGCCAAAATGAGAGACAAAAGTCACATGATTCTCCCGTCTTTTTTTTTTTTCCTGTGACAACAGGAAGGGAGCTTGGCTTAGTCAAAGCTGTCATGCCCCTGACCCTCACTTCTCTTCACACCCACATGTTCTCCAGAGGAGGCACTGGGCAGCTCTACTCAGTGGGGTACCTTGTGGCTTCTCTCCTGGCTGCTCAGACAGGAGGTTTGGCTTGGCTCAGCCATGGCACCCCTCTCCTGCTCCTGCCACTCCAGATGCTGTTAGAGAAAATATCTCTAATGTTTTCTTCAAGAAAAATACCTTGAATGTGGCAGAGATCACAGAGCAATCCCAGTCCATTACTAATCTCCGCAAATCTTAGTAAGCTGTGATTAACATAGCTAGCCCCTCTTCAGATTCCCCAGTTTTAGTTCACCATTTTCTCAGAGCTTTGACAGCTGTCGACCAAATAGCTGCATCTCTTTATGTTCAGCTATAGAGCCGCCATGACAGCTGTAGTTGTTTTTGATATCCCACACTCCCTCTGGGAGCTATGTTCCCTGCTTGAATTTGGACCAATCAGTAGGCAGGGATCAGAAAGCTTGAGTTTAGATCAATTTAGATCAATCAGAATGGTTGAATGCAGACCAGTCAGCAGGCATCAATTTGGTCCAATAACAGACCTGCAGTTGCAATGTAAGCAGCACTCCCTTCTTACTTCCCAGGTTGGTCTAGGAGGGCTCCCTCTGGTGTACTGACAAGTCCTGCTCAAGAAAATCCTTGCTGCAGTAGTTCTGCTCTTGATTTATTTCTCAGATACTGTGGCCTTGGAAGGCCCTATAAATCTACTCAGGATTCTTATCCCAAGTAGTGAGAGCTATAATCACTAGGGGCTGTTAGTCCTAAAAGGCTACAGAGACCATCAACCAGCAGAGTCAACCAGCAGTGTCTGGCACAAGCTGCTGTTAAACGGTTGCAGCTGGCAGCAGCAGAGACCATAACCGGCAGTGCTGACTGATGGGATCTGGCATTAACTGATGTGACTGGTGCTAGCAGACCTGGACTTTGCTGATGAGCCAAAGGCCCTTTCACTGATTGGTGACCATTTTAGATGACAACTTGGCCAGATTACAAAATATTTAGAGCATTTACCTGGTAAAGCGTTGTTTCTGGAGTGTGGTCTGTGAGGCATTTCCGGAGATGGATGTGCGGATGTGAGTGCCTAGGTGAAGAAGATCTGCACTTACTGTGGATGAGCACGGTTGGGTTGGCTGGAGCCCAGATAGAACCAAAACAGGAAAGGAGCATTGGTTTCTCTCTCTCCCAGAGTTAGATACATACACTCTTTCTCCTGACCTTGGATGTCACATTTCCAGCTACCTTCTACTGTATTTAATTTACATAAACACATATGCAAATCAGAGATGTATGGGGTGGAAATATACTCTGGCTTTGTGATCTGTTAATTCTCCACAACACAGAAAATGGGGTCTTTTACAACACAGCTATTCACAGAGTAGATCAGCTGAACCTAAGCACATCCCCTAAGACACAGCCCCTCTTCTCAATGGACCTGAGCAGGCTCATTTGTAAGGACTGGAAGATGTTGCTTTAATCTCACCCTGCAGTCCAGAGTTTCAGGCTTACCATAATTGTTTATCTCATGCAGTTTTCATCTTTGATTTTGCAAAGTAATTCATGTGGAATGTAATATGCATCTCTGAATGATTACTTACCCCCAAATTTGTTTTCTAGTAAGATTGCTTATTTCCTGCACCTAAATGGGAATTTTCAGATAATGTATACAAAAGAAGCTTCATTTCTTTTTGGTTTGAGGTCTTTAGCATTATTTATTCATTCATCCATCCATTCATTTACTCAGTTCTTTAACTCAGCTTGGATTTAGTGAGGATCTATTGTTTCCATGTATGGGTATCATATATGACTGAGAATAACTTGTTCTCAAGGACTTTGTCATTTGACCTGGGGAGAAAGACACATGTGAGAATGGCCTCCAGGCATATGCTGATTATGTCAAGAGGAGGATTAGGTGAAGTGCCCTGCTTGGATGAGTAAGAGGGCATCGTGGAAAGTACATGTTGTGTGAGACTGTGAAGGGGGCAGACAAGACTTGGACTCAGAGTACAGCTGGAGACTCTACTCCAGGCTGGCTCATACTTTACAGAGGAACACTTCAATTTCTCTGATGCCACATTTAACTAAAATTATGCTATTCACATTAGCTCTTTAGTATCAGGAGGGGTATATCAGGAATATCTAGATTCATAGAAGTCATCCTAGGCTCTCAGGAGGGGCAGAGTCCTTCAACAGCAATTTAACATGCTCATTTTACAAACACAAAAATAGAGGAACCAAGAGATGAGCTTATTCCACTTAGGTAACCCTACTGCACTAAGAGCAGACCTCACATCTCTTGTCCACCACCTCAGTGTTTATTCGACCACTCTCTGTGTCTACCAAAGCTAGAGTCACTGTGGATAGAGGCGGAGTTGTCACCTTGGTTATGAAAGGGGAAAGAGGTAGAGCAGATTCCAGGGACATTCCTCTGCTTTCCATTGCAATAGATGTGGTCATTCTGGAGCTGTCAGCACTAGCCGCTGCTCATTTCTAGACCTGCGCTTGGGGCCCCCAAGGGAGAGGGCACTCTTGTAGGGTATGAGGAAGGGGCTGGGGATGATGGGATGAAATGCTGACTAGCAAATTTGGAGAAAGAGTCTCCTTGGCTTCAGACCTGCACGTCTGCTTCTTTAAGCCTTTCCCCTTGCCAGCCTCCTTCCTTCCCTTCCTTCTTTTTAAATGTCTAAACCTTTACCTGTTTTTTTTTCTTGAAAAAAATCCCTTTAATTTGAAATATCGATGAATAAAATGTTGTAAAGGAGGTAGAGAAGCCCTATGTACTACACTTCCCTTAGTTTCAATTGTAATGTATAACAGATATATGTACAACTGCCCACCTCTTTCTAAAACATTCGAATTCCCTCCTCCTCCACATGCCTTCCGCCCCACTCTCCCAGCATCATCAGTTCACTTAGTACAAATGTCTCATATTTGTAACGTGAGAGAAGTTTGGTTCCCTAGATCCCCAAATCCCTAACTCTCAGAGAGGGGAGGGAAATTATAACTGTCTCAGTAGATTCTAAGGGGAAACACAGGCACAGACAGGATTAACCTGGGCATCCTAAGCAGATGGTTGCCATATCTGGTGAGGGCTAAATGGGTCTTCCCTTCCCTACATTTTTCCCTTGCTCTGCTTTCTGGCTACCATAAACTGAGTAGCTCTGGTCCATTATTTCCTTCTGTCATGATGATCATCAAGGGGTCTATATCTTCCCTTCCCTACATGATGATCCTGCCTTGGAGCCATCTGACCATGGATGGAATCCTCAGAAATCGTAATCAAAAATTAACCTTTCCTTCTTTAAGTTCTGTATGTTGGGTATTTAGTACCAGGAAAGAAAGCTGACTAATACAACGCCTTCATTAGCACCCCTTGACTCTATTCTGGCTCTGAGGTCTGCACCTGGCCTTCCCTGTGTGAATACAGTTTGAATTTGGTGAGTTCCCAGAGGATACCCTATTCATCTCTTTAGGGTCTTTCTGCAGTCAGGAATAATATTCCCTCTCCAAATCCTGTGTAAATGTCAAGATGTCCATCAATCCTCTACTTCTGCATTAACTGCCATGATTTTTTTTTTTTTTTTGAGACAAAACTTCATTATGTAGTTCAGGCTGGATTTGAACTCACTTTATAGGCCAGGTTGGCCTTGGACTCTCAGTGATCCTCCTGCCTCAGCCTCCTGAGTGCTGAGACTACAGGCTGAACCACCACACCTGGTGGTTCTGTACTAACTAAGCCTTCCCTGATTATCTAATCTATAAGGATGGTTTCCATTAAGAATTCTTGTAGGGCTGGGGATTTAGCTCAGTGGTCCTGCCACTTGCCTTGCAAGTACAAGTTCCCAAGTTTGATCCCTGGTACAGAAAAAAAAAGAATTCTTGTTGCTGGCCTCTTGGTAATTAAGCATATACTATTGTGCATTGTTAGTTAATTTTTCTACTGTTGAAACCTTAATGCAGCCTTGTAACTAGATTTTCTGCCATTACTACTAGAAGTAATTTTCCAGCTGTCTGCACAATTGTGCCCTATGATCAGGAGGCAAGCCCTGGGCTAGAGTTTCAGATGGACCCACCACTTTCCTGTGCCAGTAGTGATAACAGGAAGAAGAAAGAGTGTCTAGCTCTTTTGGCTTGCACAGTGGAGGGGAGTTTGCCTTAATGTGAGCATCAAGAATCACCCAGAGAGGGTTTTCTCAAAGAATAAGAGTTTAGGTTCCTAGGATGCCAAAGAGAGATAAAGTCTTACCAAAAATTCACCATTTTTATATAGGACACTTAAAACAGTTCTGAGTCCCAATTTTCTAAGAATAATATTTATCAAACAAGGCTGTTTTAAGGATTAAATAGGATGGTATGTGTTATCACATACTGCCTGGCATAAATTAGCACCTAACAAATGTGAGCTTTCCCCCCTACTATCAGTTAACAGTTTACTAGGAAAATTATTTCCCATAATTCTCTATAACAATTAATCTGCTCATAATAACTTCAAAGGAAACATCTAAAAACAATTTCTTACATGTGTTTATGTATCTGTTTGAAAGGCTCCAAGCCTTCTTTACAAAAGACTGTGGCAGCCTGCTTTGTTTTATTTTATGATATGCCTTCCTTAAATAAAAATCACCATTTAGGAGCTTTTCTGATCTTTTATTTCATTCCCTTTCTTCTCACCAATTTAAAAATTCTGGAAGAACTAGGATTAGTTGGCTCTAAGGTTTGAGGCTGCCTCTGTCTCACTGTCCCTTATAATTGGCAGAACCAAGGGGTCCTGGAGAACCAGGACTGGGGGCATTATCGACTTGGCTGAAGATGTGGGGTTCATTATAGTTGCCAAAGTCATGAAGTTGAGGCTGTGGTCTCAACTGAGTAACTAAGCAGTAAACTAAGAAGTGATTCTGCTGTGAGGTTCAAATTTTCCAAAGGGCACATGGAAGTGTTCAATTGAATACCATCCTCGGGTCACAAGCATTGGTCTTCTCCTTTCCAACTGTAGGTGTTTCTTCAATTGCCCCTTATTATCGTGAGTCATGTTTGACAAATAGCCACTCCAGAGTTGGGGCCCTGCTGCTGCTGCTGCTGTCGTGAGTAACCTTTACAAACAAATCTCACTAAAGGGATGAGTCATTTAATCACAGTCTCCGTGGGTCCCACCACCCAGCCCCCAGCTTGTGGGGCTGAGGTTGAGGGGGCTGCATGTGGATGTCAAGAAAGGAAGTGGGGAGCAACTTCCCTCACTCATTAAGAAAGTTACTTCTAGGCTGCCATCTGGCAGCAGAAATTACTTCTTCAAAATTGCTAGTATAAGTTAATGGGGCCTAGAGTACAAATAACTGGCACATCAGCCACAACCTGGACTGACTGACTTCTTCCTATCGTGCACAGTAACGTGACTCTACTGGATATGGGGTGAGAATTTCTCCCCTTGGTTTTCTTTAATAGTCCCACTAGGCTAGTACATAAAAGGGTCATACATTCTCCAACAAGACATCTCTTTGATGCGTAACTGTTCACATATGACTCCATAAAGGGAGGTGGGTGGTGCTGCTAAATTTAGAGAGGGGGCCACACAGAAACCGGGGAACTCAATAATGGCTCAGCTTACTGGGTGTTCCTGTGAAAGCATATCCCCTTTTGGATTTATGACTCTCATTTTATAATTTGTTTCCTCCTTCTCTCCCTTCTTAGGCAATTAGACCACATGCCTCAGCTGCTGGTGCATCAATAAATATTTGCTGAATGAATGAACAAGAAGTGCTATCACCAATGTGTGTGAACACTGGAGATGTGCAAGGTTGACTGCAGAGTGACATGGTGGTGCCCTGAGGTGGTGGGATCTTGCTCACCCCCTTGGTGTGGCAAACAGGAGCACTGGAAAAGAAGAAAGGAAATGATAAAGACACTTGATTTTATGCCACTTGGAATAATGGGCTTCTTTCCTCAAGAAAGTATTTAGGAAGTAGAAAGATAGGTTAGTAGGAATGCAAGGGGAAAAATGTGCTTTAGAGCCAAATGTACTCCCCTGGCTTAGAATGGAGATAAATAAAGGAGTGATGTAGATGGATGAGCCACAGGGAAGCACTAGATGATTCAGAGTTGGGAGCCAGCCACCTGAAATCCTGGGGGGTTCTCGAGGTAGCTTGCTGTTCTGGAGACTTAATTACCACTGTAACTCATGACACATAATTGCATGTCAGATAGGCTAGTTTTCATGCTGAACTGCAGCCTTTTGGAAATAAATGATGCTTATTTCTCCTTCCCCTGCAAACTGACCCACCAGATTTCTGATATATATCTGGTTCTTTTTTATCTGAGTTCTTCAACAGACATAGCAACTGTGATGTGACTTCACCTAGAACTCACATAAAACTTATAGAGCCATAGTCTTAAAATTTTAGAGGAGATTTGAGGTCTAATCTCAATTGAAAAAGTCTCCTGATGTTGATTAAAATAGAAACAAGTCAAACTTAAGGGAATATCAGTTTTAAAATATATTTAATATAATTTTAATTTAGGAAATTTGTAATATCTTTTTTTCTATAAAAATTTTCCATCTCCTTTCCTGTTTCACCATGTTAGATCCACACTCCACTATAGTGTGAGGAATTGTGAAGAGTTTCTTTTGAAATAGAAAGTTGAAAATGGAACCTCAAAACATGTAAAAAACCAGGAAGAATGTTATTGCCTAATTATGTCATTGTTTTACTGAACAGAGCATGAGTAGTCCTAAATTTTTTACATCTATTTTTCCAATGAGTCAGCCTTCATTACCCTGTAGTTATTAATTTAAATTTAAAACCAGAAAAGGCTTATGATTATCAAACTCCTGAATAAGAGATGTTTTGAAAAATCATTTCTAATGTAGAAATTTCTCACCTTTTCTTAAAGATATATCTCTTTTGGTCTCCCATTAACTTAAGAGCATCTAAGAGGACCTAAGCAAAAGAGAAGTCTGTTGTTGAAGATTTATATTTATAGTCCTTGATGAACTGAATACATTTACAAGCTGCATTTTGAAATCATAATAATCTCATGTGAAGCAATCAAAATTCCAAAATCATCTAATCAAGAATGACATCAGAGGCAAACAATCTCTAGATGGAGTAGGTATAATTCCCTCTGTAAATCTTCCATTTAGAGCAGATGTTCTAATTCTGTGGATTAAGTCAAGAAGTGTTGAGATGAGTTACCCAGCAGACAGTTACTCAGTAAAGGTGAATTGGTATAAACTTGAGTTTCCTAAATAGAAAAGAAGGGGTCATTCATGACCCAAGTCTCCATCCAACAACTCCTACCCAATCTCTCTGAGTCAGGGGAGGAGAATTGGGCTGCCAAACAGAACAGAAAGGTCATTGCCAGAGGGAAAGGAATTCATTCAAAGGACAGGCTTCGGGTGATTATTTTCTCTTCTCTGAAGGACTCTCCCTATTCTTCACCTCTCAGCTCTCCCTTTCCTATGGGATTGAGAATAAAAAGAGCAGCAGCAAGTCCTTGCAGCATTTTCAGTTCCAAAGATAGATATTTTGGTTCATTGATCAAGCAAGACATATGGGTTTAGAAATACTGGAGCTGTATGTTTCGCTTCTGCCTCACATCATATCATTTTGGTGTTGTGATTCAAGTGACCTTCTGTGGCGGAAGGTGCTTGTGGAATGCATCGACACGGCCCCAGCTACTGCAACATTTGGGCCCTGGCCCTTGATCTAGAAACAGAACTCCAAACAGAGCTCCAAAGCTCTGTTGTTAACAGTTTATGCAGTGTTGTCAGAAGCTGCGTTCATTCTTTACTGTTTTCTTATTGCTTTTATAATAAATATTTACAGATTTATTGCATACTTATTTTCCAAATGGATAGACATTTTTAGAAGTGACATTTCTGAAAGTGCAGAAGCTATCTGGCACATATACAGTGTATCGTACCATGTGTTTTCTGACAAGAGCATCATCGAAACTGTCTTCGTAGTTTATCTGATGAAGCTCTATTGCGATCCGTTGTATCAAGTTTATGGCCCTATTCTTTTCTTCCTTGCTTTTTACTTTTACATCTGACATAGGGAAAATGATAAGATTTTCTTTATTTCTTAGCAAACTAATTTGTAAAAGCCATAAGAACTTCTCTCTCCTTCACAAACACAGGAGATCCTGCATTAAACAGCTCGTCTTCTCTGCTAGAGAATTTATTTCTAGTCACATGGTCAATATATTGAATCTTTTTTCTTAAGGAAAGAGATAGACAAAAGGAGCAAGACATGTAGGAAACTGCAAGATATCTTAATGTTTAAACTATGAATTATTTTTTAAATGCCTTGATATTAGATGCAGGATGCCACAACAAAAGAAATCCCTGAATCATTTGGGTATCTATAGCATAACATGAAGAAGCAAGTGGACATTTTCTCTGACAAACTGTGGAATAGTTTCAATATCGGCAGCAAATGTGCTTCTGTATCATTCTTGGTATTATGAGACAGTACAGCAGAGTAGAGCAACACCTTATTTTTATGTTATTGTCATTTTGAAAAAGTCAAGTATTTTGCTATGGAGTATTCTTTTACTTCCAAAACGTTCAGGATTTAAAGGAATATCTATAAAAATATTCTCAAAATCTACGAATAACATTGTAGCTTCTATGTGACTTAGCTTCTGTTTGTGAGAAGTTTTTTAGGTATTTACGGTAACAATCAAGGTGCCTGTTTACAATTGTTAACTCTTGAATTTTTGAAGTTCTATAGGAAAACTACTTCATGATAATTCTTTTTGACCTATTCTTCTCCCCAAAAAACCCCAATGGCAAAGTAAAGTGTGCCACTAGAAGAGAAAGAAGATTAAAAACAGACCTTAAGGGCCAAGGATTTAGCTCAGCGGTTCTGCAACCTGCCTCACCTGCCTGGCAAGCGCAAGGACCCGAGTTTGATCCCCAGTACCAAAACAAACAAACCAAACCAAGCAAAAAAACCCAAAACAGACCTTAAGTGTCTATTTACATTAAAATTGCAATTAGGATCAATGGGGTAGGTTATTTTAAGGGAGGAGGCTTTGATTAAGTATAAGGAAAACTTTCAAACTATAGCAGCTTTTAACAATGAAATAGCCTTTGAAGACAGTGAGACCCCTATTAATAAATGTGTTCACACAGCCTGGTTGATTACCCAAGGTTAATTTAGAAGGATTCCTCCATCCTAGTCATTGATGTCTTAGGTCTCAGTCTCATCAACTGCGTTTTAAAAGTCAGTGTTCTGTCACCTCACGTGTATAATGTTTCATTAAAGCAGGGTTTCACTGATTTGGAATTTGGAAAGTTGGGCTAAAGGTTTTTTTATAACACTCTTTTTCTTCTTAAGGGGAATATAAATAGATTAGAGGAAGATCCTTAAAACTGTTAAAATGTGCTGCTGTGGTTAGATGCATTGATTTAAGAAAAATGATGTGCTACTTGTAAGTCATCCATTAAAGTATTGATCTGTATTGTATAACATCTCATTATAAAGTTGAAACTAATAAAAACTATGCTTCTTTGAATATATTTTAATTAGATGTTTTTCTTCTAAAATAAGTCTGATTTAAGACTCCATGTATCTATATGCACATATTAATATAGATTTTAAAATGGTAAAATCATAACTCAAACAAATATAAAGTAAGCACAAGTCAAAGACTTCATTTAAGTTGTTAATGAGTGAGAGGGCAGTGATATAATTAAGTGATATAAAAAAAGTGATATAATTAAGACTAAGTAAAAGCAAATACCAGATACATTTCAATAAGAATGTGAAATGACAATGTTGGAGTAGACATAAACTTGGCTTCTTCTACAGTGGAGAGACAAATCAATAGAATCAGTTGAATTGTCCTAGTGGACAATTTTGCTTTTCTATGGAGAGGAATTATTTTCATTACTAGCAAGTTTCTAGAGTGAACTTTATGTTTTAAGAGTTTTATATAGGCCTAATCAAAGACAATGGCCTTTTAATATCCTTTTTTGGGGGGGGATATTCTTCCTTGTCTTTGAGATATTCCTTATTAATGAATATTTCTCCCACTGAGGTAGCCAGAACCATCTCCTTAATTGACAGGTGCATTTAGTAGAAGTTACAGTTATGTTTTTGGTCAAATGAGAGTAAATTTGAGTTTTAGAAATGATAAAAATCATAAAGAGACAAAGAGATGAGTGGTCAAGCTGGAAAATACTATTGTAAATAGAAAACTGGTACTGAAGTATAGACAATTTTTTTCTTGTGTGACACATAAGCACTCTATGACAAGCAAAAAAAAAAAAAAAAAAGAAAGAAAAGTTTAAAACACAATCCAAGCAAAAGCAATACTCAAGTATTGAGAGGGCGCCAAACTAACCTGTTTTGTGAAACTACCATTTAGTGTAATTTCTGGTACATTGAAAGAACTGGTGCTATTTGCTTCTCTGTCCCTCAGTTTCCTCATCTGTGAAACTAAGGAGTTGAACTAGATGATTGCTAATGTTCTTTAGCTCTTTAATACTGTGAGCTCTGTAGTCATCCCTGGGTTCAGCTTTTCCAGTACAATTAGATCACTTGGTTTTATATTTTCCTGGTAGCTAACAGAGAAGAAATCGAAGGATTGGTTTTTCTTCTGTGTAATTCACCTACATCTGAATTCTTGAAAAAAACCTCTTTTATCATGTAATGTAATTGCCAGAACAGTCTGAGGGAAAAAGAATTTATATGCATTTTAAAGTTCCTTCAATGTGAATCATTAAATACTAAGATAGAGCAGGGTGAGGATAACTGTGAAATCTATTATTGTTAAAAATGAAAGAGAAATAGTTTACACATGATAAGCTGTAGAGCATGAATACTAAAGGATATTTTGTGGCACTTTGTATATGCTAGGCACTGTCCTAAATGGTTTAAGTCATTAATGCATGTAATCCTTATCCCTAAACAGCAGGACAATTGTTATCATCACCATTTTGCTGTTGGAGAAACGGAGACACAGGAAGTGAGAATAATTTGCCCAAGGCCACAGAGTTGGAAGGGAGCAAGCCAGGCTGTGGATCACATTGTTTAGAATATTGACTGTTCAGCAGTTCTACAAAAGTAAAAAGAATCTTCCATCTAACTATGCCAACTTGATACCCAAGAAGGGAATGAAGCTTAAGTCTCTTAGCACAGAGACACTCAGAGGAATAAAATGCCTTATCTATGGTTATAAGATGACGGGGGCTTGGAGCCAAAGAGGGCATGTTCTCTTCATTTCTCGCTCCCAACCTCTTGCTCCCGACCTCTTGCTCATTTCTAGTTTATTCCTGCAGCTAACATTGTGGATAAAAATGAGCCTCTTTTAAGCATTCCTTTCCTAGAGCTTGTCATGCTACAGGATTCTTTCATGTTTCCAGTTCATGATAATATGTGGTCTTCACTAGAACTCCTGTGGTTTGACACCAGCCTATACTGGAGATTATGGCAGCTTTTGTTTTCTTAAAAAGCTGGCCCTTCTTGGAATTTCGGCTTGAGAGAGCAGAAGTGAGGTTGGTTTGGCTCCAACAAAGCAGTCAAGTGTAACTAATACTGTGTTATTAGCACGGGGTGAAATTTTCAACTTTCAGTATCTTGATGAAACATAGACAATAAAAATTGCTCAGTGACTTTTTCTAACCTTTCTAACCTGTATTTTACTCCCCAAGACCACGATCCGTTTTGCATTCTCAGACAATGAGCTAGGGAGCTTGAAAGTGTGCCACTCATGGCGAAAGACGGCTCCCCTAAATGAAACAGCTACACTTGGCAAATTCAAGTCTCAAGAAGTCTTATAATTTTCCAGGTACTGAAATGTTCCTCTTAATGACAGATCAAAATAGTCACCAAGGCTCCGAATGGGGAAGAATCTGTCATTAAAAGTTCTGAAAAACCTAAGGAACTGAACTGGTCAGTCCCCAAGTGTGATACAAAAACATTTTCTGCATCCCTGTGGATATTTAATTAATCTAATTGTTTTGAGATTTTCTATTCTAAAATACAGTAGGAATAAAACAATACAATGTATTAAAATCACAGTGGTCTTAGTCAAGGCCCATTAACATTGCAAGTATAGAAACCGATACACATCTTTATTTGAGGGTTTGTCTAGCTTTTCTCTCCTTTAGGCATTTTGGAAGGCTTGGAATATGGTGTATGACTTTGAAATGCACTTTCTAGCTGGAAGGAATTAAACAATCAGGGACAGAGTGTTTTTACATTATATAAGACAATGCAGTTTGTTGCCACCTACATTCACTCTTTGGTGGAAAATGGAAGCTATAGGAAGAGGCAGGGCCAATTCATGCCCTAACAATGAAATTGGATTGGGGATATCCTCTGCTGTGGGTTCCAGAGCTCTACTTTTCTCCCATCCTAAACCCCACTGTAGTGCTTGATCCAGACAGATTTTTCCCCTGGAATTCCCCAAGTTCCTGACTTAACAAACAATTGTTTTCTGATTGCAGACACATTTGGCTTAAGAGGAAAGCACGTAGTATGGTTTGAGGAGACAAGATGCAGGCCTCTGAGAAGAAGGTATGCCAGGTCCTTGGAGCCAGTATATGGACTGGAAAACACAGAATTTTCAGGAGATAGAAAGCACAGTTCTTACTTAGCTTTGACTTCAGTCTTTGGGTAATTAAAGACACCAAAATTCAGTTTCATCATTTCAAAAATCAGGGTGTTGGACTTAGAAGGAGCTCTCAAATTTTTCTTTCATCTCAGGACTTTGATCTTCAGAGGAAAACTTATAAGGATAATAAGATGGGAAGTCAACAGTAGAGTCTCAAAAGGTTGGCCTCACCTCCGGACTTCCCCCATGTTCTGCTCCTGTGACATGTGTGTGTTAGTAACCAAATGTGCGGTATTGAACTTATGTAAGAAACATAAAACCAAAAAGTTTTATAGGAGAGGTCTGGGCAGAACAAAAAGAGGAAAGAGGATGTACAGAAAGGAGAAGGGAGACAGATGCAGGGCAGGCAGTTGGAAAGATTCGTGTCCTTGTCAACCTTTTTCTGGGCTAAAGTTACTGCATGAAAATGTGTGCTAGAGAGTTGAGAAGAATGTCACGTGTAATTTGAAAGGAAAAAACATAGTTCCATTTATGGAATTTTGTAGAGTTGGAAGTGTCTATTTAAGAAATAATTTCTTCTGCTAAGCGTATGTGTGGCTGAGCTCGAGATTATGTAACAGAGAGAGGAAGTGACAAATGCAAGCAAGAAAAAGCATAGCTGAGCAGGGCCAATTGGGTTGCAGAGGAGGGAGGGGCTGTGTGGGGAAGGAGAGGAATGAAAATGAGACTGGAGAGGACTCTGGGATGTGTGGGAAGCTGAGGAAAGAACAGGTAAGAAGGAAAGGAACAAAGGAGGAAGGGACACAGTTGGCGGAAAAGGCAAAGCAGGGACGTCAGATACGGGCATGAGCATGAGAGGAGCATTTAAAAAAATCAAAGGACTTGCAAGAATGTGGGTGTCAGCTGTTGTTTAATCTCTCAAAATGAAATGTGAGTGTGTCTGACCCAAGGAAAAACAATGAGGTGAAGGCCATGGAGTTTTGTATCTGTATAGATCACATGTCACCTTTAAACTATGTTCCATACCTTAATTTTGGTTAGCCATTCAATAATTCATGTTCCTGGATTCTAGGGTATCAGAAGAAAGAGTAAGGCAGGCCCTTGGTATAATATGTATGTATAATTTTCTTTGTCTTCTGTAAAGGTTTTGAGTAGTTTGATGAAGGGATGGAGAGACTAGAGGCTCCTCTCTTCATTAATCTAAGCAGTCTGTATGTTACACATGCACACACACACATGCACACACACACACCCTCTAACTTATCATAATGCGAATGCTTAAAAGAAATTTGTGTAGTTCACTACAATCTTCAAATTTATCTTTTTAAAAGATTCTCATTTTCCTTTGTATTTTTTGTAGCTTGGGATAATATTAAAAAAACAAACAAACCATAGACTGGTGGCTTAACCAACAGAATCTTGATTCTTCACAGTTCTGGAACTGAAAGTCCAATGAGGTTGGTTTCTGGTGAGAGCTCCCCTTTTGAAAATAAAACACAGTCCAGTCAGATGAGGGCTCTACTTTTGGGATGTAATTTAATTTTAATTACCTTCTAGAGACCCTGTCTCCAGATACAGTCACACTGGGGACTAAGATTTCACTACATGAATTTTGAGGTGATGCAATTCTATGAATGTAATAGCTTATATCTAGATGTTCTCCTCAAACCTCCCCAAGGGTTATAGGTAGGGCTTTTCCGAGGAGGCTGTATCTCAGGTGTGTGATACTGGGATCAAAGATGTGATGCTGGGATTGATTCACATTGCGATGCTAGAACTAAGAGTGTTAGCGCTACCAGCAGGTAGCCTGGATAAAATATGAGACAGAAAGAGGGCTGCTGTTGTGGTTGCTTGTTGCTAGTCTCTTGCTGCTTGTTGCCTTCTGCCTACCCTGCTTTTCCATGGACTATTTTTCCTCTGCAATGCCCCTCTGGC